CATAAAATGTATTCCCTTTACCTTTAACCAAATCATCCTTTCTAATGAAGACTCTTACTTCCTCCTCTACCCCCCTTTCTCCTCATCTTCCAAACCAACTGAGCACATTTAAAAGGCCTGGGGTTCATTAATTTTAAGTGTTCAATAAATTAGTGGAAATAATCAAAAGGCCTGATTCTTTCTGATAATGGCAATTTGATGTCTGTATAAACCAGTAGATTAAGCTGGGAGCATATGCTTCTTTGCCAAGTGAGGCTGCTATAATTAAATAGTGAATGCATCTACAAGGTGCTCTCACGCCTGATTAATTAGTAATCAGGTGCTCAGTCTTCAACAACACCTTGTCTCTCATTGGTTAATTACATCTTTACCTTGTCAGAAGTCATGGGAACCAGGACCTAACATTTATGGAGGTGCCAGGGTTACTGGAGCAAGGCCAGGCAGAAGACCCAGGTCAGTTTATACCTGTCCACCCCTGTAACATCAAACCTTTCCCTCCACTAGAGCATGAAATAGGGATACAACTGCTTTCAAATTCTTATGTGTGGGCTTTTGAACATTAAAGCCAAGGAAAAATCAATGAAGTCCCAGGGGCAGAGAGATCCATAGTGAGGCTGTCTGAGGTCCCTACCATATTATCTTCAACTCTCACTCTCCTTTTTTTCATTGTTTCCATTTTAAATAGTTCTATTTAAATGTAAACGTGTTAGGTGTCTACGTTTTCATGTGTATATACATAACATGTAATGTTATATATGTATATGTAACATTGTATATATATAATATATGTATTGTTATATATACATACACATATATATATACATATATATGTATAATGCGTTTCTAAGATTATATTACTTTGTCTTTCAAATGTCTCTTTCATACCCTAAGCTTATTTTTATCTACAAGTGTTTATTGTACTCTCCTCATGGAATGCTTAGACCACTTTTCTAGACCCACTCAGATTCCATTAGTCTTTCAGGGTCTAGGTCAAGTTCCATCTTCTTCATGAAGCCTCCCTCAAGTAGAAGACAGGAAAGTATAGTCAGCACTCAAAAGACCTGTGTTATAATCCCAACCTTATTAATTACTGTGTGACCTTGGACAAGTCACTTAACCACTGCTCTAGAACAGTTTCCTCCTTTATATTATAGACATATTAATAATGTCTATATTTTTATGTCATAGTTTTATATGCATGAAATTTCCTCGAAAACTATAATCATTATACAAATATAGATTACTCAGATCAAAATTATATATGTATATACCCACACCTATACTGATATGTATGTATAATATCTTTCTCAAAATAACTCAAAGTTCTTTACAAACATTAAGTAATTCTTAATGCCTTTCAGAGAGGAGAGAATGTACGAATGAGGGGAAAAAATGTTCTTTTCTTGAAATGAAAAAATGAAAAAAAATTAAAAGAGAAATGGAGATATTTATAAAGGTCCTTTGAGAGGAGTGATAGCATAAAACTTAATCCAGTGATCTTTCCAATAGATCATCCTTTCAGATGATCATCTGTCTCATCATGTGAGCCAAGTTCCAATAGAAAGCTGCCTGGTCATTACTCCCATCTCTGCCATGTTCCTTTGTGTAGCTATTGTGACTCTCCTCATCTGGGTGGATATAATACTTTCCTTAGCCCTTTTTAGATGCATTAAACGTCACCCAGATCCCAAAGAGACCTGTTCACCAACTTGATCATTGTAAAACTACTATGACAGCAAGCTGACCCTCACATCCCATTTCTTCTACACAATCTGAAAAGCCAATGTGATTCTGAAAGATTAAAGGGAAGAGGAATAGAGTAAAAAGGAAGAGAATTCTGACTTCTTGTATCTCTTCCATTTCTTCTTCTGAAAGCCAGTTATGGAGTTGGAGAATAGGTCATTAAAATGCCCATTATTCCTAGCCACTTTTTCTTAAAGCGAATACCTCAAATCCCATCAGTGGCCAAGAACCAAGCAAATGCCAAAAATAGGAGTCCCAAGAAATCTTCCTGCATAACCACAGGAAAGTCTGGTGGCCACTGGAATCACATGCTTTTGCAAGCAACTCAATCAGCTCAACTAAGATTTAGAAAGAGCTTTGAATCTACAAATAATGTATACCCTTTATAATTCGGGAAAAGAATGAAAATCAGGGGCTAGAGGTACTGACTACAGGGGGAAAGTTTAAAAGATTATATGTGCTTTGTGATATATATGTATATATATATATGTATATATATATGTATATATATATATATATGTTTTCTTAGTGCTTGTGATTTCTGATTTTGTATTTGTAATGCGAGAACGGTTAATCTACCTTGTTTATAAAAAGAGCCCCAATGTGGTTGATCCATCCTAGAGACTGTAAGAAGATCTATTCCTTGAAAAATAAAAGGAAATCTCTGTGCCAAGTAGGGACCTAACTGCTCTCAGGAGATCTATATAAACTAAGCCTAAGGTAAACATAGACTTCCAGGATGTTGTGGATTTGGAATGGGAAGGAAACATGTGTAGGTAAAATGACTACATGGTTCTCCTTAGGAAAGTGAAAAAAGGAAATATTTCTATGTCCCTTCAGTTTAAGTCCCATCCTGCCATTTTGGAAGAAGTGAATACCTTTCCATGGAAAAAAATAAGGGAGCAAAGGGGCACATTTCTTTAGACATAGTGACAAAAATTCAGAACTTCAGGCTCCAGTCTCAGCACTCCCACTTATTACATGTATTACCATAATCAAATCACTTCCCATCTCTGGATCCCAGTTTCCTTACTGTAAAATAAGGAGGTTGCACTGAATATTCTCTAAAGCACCCTTCAACTCTAAAATTCTATGATTTTGTGATTGAATTTAAATATAAACACAAATTGTAAGATCTTGGGCTCACAGGACCATTGCATTTAGAGCTAAAATACCTTAGAAGTCATTTAGTACAATATCATCATTTTATAGATGAAGAAACTGAGGCCTCCTAAAATAAAGGTACTTTTTTAAAGTCCCACTGGGTCTAAGTGTCAGAGCCAGGATTCTAACCTATATTCTCTGAATCCAAATCCAGTGCTCAAAGGAAAACTATTTCCCCTTTATAGGTATGTCCTTCTAACTTTGACATAGTGATTTCTACTATTTAACTGTAAAGTACTCCCCCTTCCATATGTCAATAGTTTGGCTACTAAAAAAAGCAGATAAATAACTTTAGTGTAAGGAAAAATTATGAAATCAATTTGTGAAGAAACAGTTTCTCACATAAAATGAAGAGAGACATACCAATTGAAATATATAGGAATGCAAACATTTCCCCAATAAACACATGGTCAAATGATGTGAATAAGCACCTCCCCAAAAGATATGAAGATTTTATAAAGACCCCTTTGAGAGGAGTGATAACATAAAACAATCCAGTGCATACCGTTTGACCCAGCAATAGCACTTCTAGGGCTGTATACCCCCAAAAATCATGAAAACAGGGAAAGGACCCACATGTACAAAAATATTTATAGCAGCTCTTTTGGTGGTGGCAAAGAATTGGAAATTGAGGGGATGCCCATCAACTGGGGAATGGCTGAACAAGTTGTGATATAGGAATGTAATGGAATACTATTGTGCTATAAGAAATGATGAACAGGAGAACTTCAGAAAAACCTGGAAAGACTTGTATGAACTGATGCTGAGTGAAGTGAGCAGACCAGGAGAACATTGTACACAGTAATAGTCACATTATAGGATGACTAACTTTGACAGACTTATCTCTTCTTAGCAATGCAAGGATGTAAGACAATTCCAAAAGACTCATGATGGAAAATGCTGTCTACATCAGGAAAAAGAACTATGGAGTATGAATGCAGATCAAAGCATATTATTTGTTCTCTCTCTCTCTCTCTCTCTCTCTCTCTCTCTCTCTCTCTCTCTCTTTCTGTTTCTTCTTTCTCATGGTTTCTCCCATTAGTTCTAATTCTTCTTTACAATGTGGCTATTGTGAAAATAGGTTTAATATGAATGTATATGTTGAGCCTATAGCAATTTACATGCCATCTTGGGGTGGGGAGAGGAGAGAGATGGGGAGAAAATTTGGAATTCAAAATCTTATGGAAGTGAATGCCAAAAACTAAAAATAAATGAATAATTTAAAAAAAAATCCTTAATACAGTGATTTTTCCAATAGATCATCCTTTCAGATGATAGTCTATCTAGTAATGTAAAGTAAGTTCCAAATAGCAAGCTGATCCTCACATCCTGGATTCAGAACCAGGAGAACATTGTACACAGTAATATCAATGTTCTAAGAATGATCAACTGTGAAAGACTTAGCTAGTCTGATTAAGATCATGAAAAGGCAATTCTGAAAGGATGCATGATGAAAAATGCTATACACCTTCAGAGAAAGAGAACTGATAAACTATAAATACAGATTGAAGCATACTGTTTTTACTTTCTTTATTTTTCTTGTTTTTATTTTTGCCTGTTTTCTTTCACAACATGACATATGGAAATATGTTTTGCATGACTTTATGTGTATAATCAATATCAAATCAGTTCCCTTCTCAAGAAGGGAATGGGAAGGAGAGAATGAGGAATTCAAAATTAAGAAAAAAGAATGAAAAGAATTTACATGCAATTGTGAAATATTTAATGAAATAAATAAAATATTTTTCAAAAAAGAATAGAAACCTTTTTTAAAAAACAAAAAGACTACAATTACAAAAAAAAAGCAACTTTGAAAGATTTGAGAACTCTGATCAAAGCAATTACCAAACATGACTGCAAAGGGCTGAGGATGAAGCATGCTTTTCACTTGACAGACAGGTGATTGGCCAGAGACGAAGAATGATACAAAC